GGGGGGGGGGGGGGGGGGGGGGGGGGGGAGGGGGGGGGACACGACACAGACATCTGATCTTAGTTCCTGGTAGTCTTTTGATCAGAGACGGGAGCAGCGCCCTATCCCCTGACCTTTCAGTTGTCCTTGATGATGGCTATCAGCATAGACTCTGCCTGGGGGTCATCACATTCCTAAGGAACTCAAAAGAACAAAGTTATCGACTTTATCGCAGCTGGGAGGGGCCATAAAATCTACAGAGCATGTCTGGGTTAGTTAATCCGAGGTCAAAGTTGCAATGCGGTTTATTTTCTACAATATGGCTTCCCTTATTTTTTTTTTTAAAGATTGGCACCTGAACTAACATCTGTTGCCAGTCGTTTTTTTTTCTTCTTCTTCTTCTGCTCCCCAAAGCCCCCCAGTACATAGTTGTATGTTCTAGCTGTGGGTCCTTCTAGTGCTGCTATGTGGGATGCCACCTCACCGTGACTTGATAAGTGGTGCTAGATCCGCACCCAGGATCTGAACCGGCGAAACCGTGGGCTGCTGAAGCGGAGTGCGTGAACTTAGCCACTCAGCCACAGGGCCGGCCCCAGCATGAACCTTTGTTGAGCCAGTATCACTTCTTCACTTGCTTACCCATTACAACTTTATCTCCACTTTCGTCTGCCCTCCCTGCAGATGAGGTTGATTGAGATGCCCAGGATAGAAACGCCCTGGTTTCTGACAGCACCCAATCCAGAGCAAGTCTCCACTTCCTTAGACCCTTCCCCGCATTATCCCGACACAGCCCCAATCCTCCTGTAGGGTCTCTCTAAACCCTCTCACCAGGACACCCCGCAGTTCTCCCCACGTGTGTTCTTCCTCTCCACAGTGGGTCATAAACCCACTTATTCACATACACATCTGTTCCTGGGGGTCCTGACTGGAGAGCGTTGACAGAATAAATGATTACTAAGTATTTCTTAACCAAGTGAATCTTCTCACTCCTCCTTTTCCTTAAAAAGACTTATTCTTAAGTAAGATATTTAGAAGTTGGAGGTGGGTAAGGGATTGGAGGAAGAATATTCCCCTATTTTAAGTTATTTAAGGACTATTAAGTAGTTTTTCCTCCTATTTAGTGTTATAAGAAATGTAATTCTTTTTTTAAACCCAGATCATAGCTTTTTAAAGAAGCTAGCTAAGTCAGAAACACTGACCTTTTATTAAGGAAGTGATTGTCTTAGAAAATGAACCTTTAATTAACTACCCACCCCCCAAAAAAACCCTGATAATATTTTTTCTGTAACTATTTTTATGACAATAAAACTCCATAGAAACCAGCGATAAAACTAATAGCAATTTTATTTTTTTTTTGAGGAAGATTAGCCCTGAGCCAATATCTGCCGCCAATTCTCCTCTTTTTGCTGAGGAAGACTGGCCCTGAGCTAACATCCATGCCCATCTTCCTCTACTTCACGTGTGGAACGCCTACCACAGCATGGCTTGACAGGCAGTGCCATGTCCGCACCCGGGATCCAACTGGCGAACCCCCGGCCACCGAAGCAGAATGTGTGAACTTAACTGCTGTGCCACCAGGCCAGCCCTAATAGCAATTTTTAAAAGTTAGCCAAATAGACGAGAACAGTCAAGTTATTTTTCTAATAGTCCATCTACATAGGACATACTGTACATTTTGAATCAGTCCAATTATGATTTAAATGAATTTATTTAAATGAAGTGATAAGAAGTTATGTTTTTTTCCTTCTCAATTTTCAGTGAGCTCTCTTCCCCTCAAACTTGAGGAGTGACTCGTGGAATACGTCCTCCTGGTGGGGCAACGTTGCACTTTCCATTCTCTAGTCACTTCCAAAAAGCTATGGAAGCTTCCCGAGAGTCCTTTCCCACTCTGAAGGGCCTCGGGAAACCTGCGTTATGTTTCACCATTAAAATCTCTGCACTGTTAACGTAGAAGACGAAATGTGCTATTTGTTTCTAAGCAGTAGTTCTGATCCCTTTAAGGTCTCCTTACGCGTAGTTAGAATGAATCACTTGGTAGCAAGTCTCTGTGTAAAAACACCATCCATGGCATAAGTGGATATTTGAATTTTCTTTAGAAAGTGCCTGGGAATGCACATAATTAGGAAATGTGATTTTTTTTTTTTTGAGGAAGATTAGCCCTGAGCTAACTACTGCCAGTCCTCCTCTTTTTGCTGAGGAAGCCTGGCCCTGAGCTAACATCCGTGCCCATCTTCCTCTACTTTATATGTGGGACGCCTACCACAGCATGGCGTGCGAAGTGTTGCCATGTCCACACCTAGGATCTGAACCGGCGAACCCCAGGCCGCTGAGATGTGGAACGTGCGAACTTAACCGCTGCGCCACCGGGCCAGCCCCATGATTTTTAAGTGAAAAGTTTCTTGTCTGAGTAGTTAACATTTTCTCTTATTGAAAAATCAGAGGTTCTTTAATCTCATGTGGACAAAATCTAATCAAGTCTATTTAAATTGTGGATATCCAGCAAAATTGTATGGTTTTATCCCACTAATTCATTTATTTATTGGAAAATATTTTGAGGGGCCAGCCCGGTGGCATAGTGGTTAAGTTTGCACCATGTCTTGGGGTTTGCAGATTCCATCTGGGGCACAGACCTGCGCACCACTCATGAAACCATGCTCTGGCAGCATCCCATGTACAAAATAGAGGAAGATGGGCACTGATGTTAGCTCAGGGCTAATCTCTCTCAGCAAAAGAGGAAGATTGGCAACGGATGTGAGCTCAGGACCCATCTTCCTCACCAAAAACAAAGCAAAAGAAAAAGAAAAAAAATTTTTTTCAGCATCTGTTATATGCCAGATACTGTGCTAAGTGCTAAGGTTATAAAGATAAAAAAAGACTCCAATCCTTGATTTAAATAGGTGGCCACAGAAGAGAATCTTGAGGACATTTCCCTAGATTTGGTCTTTTTATAATTACTTATCTGCCTGCCTTCCTACTCCTTTTTGTGTGTGTGTTTTGCTAGGACTCTGTTGCAATAAGAGGAGAAAAGTATAACATTCAGTAGTGTCAGTAAATTTTGGTCAGCACTGGCTGTGAACTAGGCCCTGTGCTTTGTGGACTAAAGGAGATAAGACAGATCACACTCTGCCCTTGGGGAGCCCTCAGTGGAGGAGAAAGCCCCTGGGACCAGCGCCATAATGGAGTCTTGTTACAGTGCCGAGCTGCAGTTAGCTCTGACTACACCTGTTTTAAACCTGGGGCATTCAGCAGGTTTCAAAGGTTTCAGGTCAACTCCCTGTCCCCACCCTACCCTCGTGATAAAACATTCCTGTCTCCTACAGCGTGAACATCTGCCTGATCGTCACTAGCAGAGTGGTAGGTAGCTAATTGTCTGATCTCCTTTGACCACACCCTTCATCCCCCAACTCCTCACCTCCCCACCTTCACAGAATACCAGCCATTTCAGCCAAGATTCTCTGGGCCTCAGCTGACCTCCTGGGTGTCTGTGTGTCTGTCCCCGTCCATCCCCATATCCCCACCTCAGGTAAACGGGTCCAAGCGGCTCTTTGAGTTCATGTCTGACCCCACCCCTCAGGCCACCTGGTATTTGTCTTTTAGAATTCCTGTAAACAGGTTTACCCCTAAAATTTAAGTTTTAGTAGTGAATCAAATAAGGAAAATTTTAAGTACACTTGGGCCATGGATAGCTGATGATTCATTACCAAAAATCTCATTGTAGACGATTAAGGGAGTCATTTACAAATTATAAAGCAACACAAGAAAATTTTTTAAATGGAAAACTTCCCTTTTTCGCTTGGTCAGGTTCTTTGAGTTGATGTGGCCCAAATAACATCCGATCATTTTCCTTAACCTTCTCTAAAAGACTCTTCCAGTCTTACTCCCCCAGATTTTACTATATTTGTGCATAGTGAATTCTGTAAGAGGATTATTACAATTCCACAATATCCCTTCTCTTCAATTCTCAAATCCAAAAACATTCTGAAAACCAAACCTTCTTTTTGTAACTTATTTATTGGCAAAGCCAGACCTGAACCAAAGTGACCCTATTTAAATTCTTTGGTCGCCTGCCCTACTAGGACACTCATATGGTTTGGTGCAGAAATGTTACTGTGTTTGATTACAGAGTGCCGCCCTAGATATTTCATGTCTACGGCATATGCACAATATTACCTTTCTAAATTAAAAAAAAAAAAATCCATTCAGAAACAGCTCTGTCTCCAAGGATTTAAATAGGGATTTTTATGTGTCAATTATAGCTCAATAAAACTGGGGGAAAAGGGAGCACTTTAATATTGTAGACAGTTTTTAGTTTTGATAAATTAGTTCATGTAAACAAAACACAACAACAAAAAACAAGCTTTAATTTTCTGGTAACTTTCACTTTGTCCCTAGATTTGATAGTTCTCTAGTTGGGGGTTAAATTATAGGAAGTGTGACTGTGAATGCATATATCTGTTGATTTCTTACACCCACAAAATGAAGGCTAAGATAAATATAGTCAAGCTAACTATAGGCTATAGCTGTGATCATATATACAAGAAAAAAAGAGTCTCTGAATTGGGGATTGTATAGATATGCATGTATACAAAATGTGATGTTCTTGTACATTTTCAATGGGAGAAGTGCCAAGAGCAATTTTATTCTTATTTTCTCTAGATTTAAGAGAATGTAAATTCACATACCAGTGATTTCAGAAGCAACAAGTATGATGATGTTCCCCACCTACCCAGACCCCTTAAAACCATTCAAGTGAAACCATTTAACTCTTTAATTACGGTGGGATAGAACTGACCTATTTTCTGCATGGTCATACAGAAACATTTTATTTGTTTATTAGCTTAAGAATTCTTTCTGGAAATTGGTATTTTCAAGTTTAATGCGGTGATTGTGTTTTTACTTGGAATCTTCCCCTCCATGTTTCCTTGTTCTGTGCAGATTATCAGCGCCTGATGACTGTGGCGGAAGGCATCACCACACTTTTGTTCCCATTTCAATGGCAGCATGTTTATGTGCCCATCCTCCCTGCTTCCCTGCTGCATTTTCTTGATGCTCCTGTCCCTTATCTGATGGGCCTTCAGTCAAAAGAAGGAACTGACCGTTCTAAGCTAGAACTTCCTCAAGAGGTAAAACTTATAATGAACGATGAAGCATTTGCTGTTTGTTGATTTAGGTCAAGGCTACTTTTGTTAGATAGCATTGTCTTTGTCCAAACCATGTCTCTGACTATTCTGGATCTCCCAAGTAGGTCTGGGGCAGGACCTGAGCCGTAGAACGCAGATCCTGACTCCTGGTGGTTCCTGTGACATAGTCATCAATTAAACGTGGTTCAAAACAGGACCATGGTGAATTTCCACGGCTGTAAATTTGTGAAGATGGAGCAATAGTACTCTTCTCTAGTTGTTTTATTATTCTAATGACATTTCATTTCTTGCCCCCCCCATTTATGTTGTAAATTTTGTTTTTAAACAATACAGTCCAATTTTAACATCCTTTAAATCCTCGTATTAATTAAGGTGACTTTAATTCTTGACCTCCATCAAATGAAGAGTAACGTCTTTCAGCAAGCTAGGGGTAATGGAAATATCAAATACTTCAGTGTTCTTTATTTTCAGACCTAAGGCTAGTTGTCAGCTTTTTCTAAATGTCAATGTGGCGAGGTGGCCGAGATAAAAATTTTAACCCCTAGTTTTTAGGTCACCTTAAGGTTACTGTGCTTTCTGTGTGTTGTATTTTCAAATGTTGTTTAAGAAGAAAATAAGCAGGAATTTCTGGAAGCATTTTGAATCTAATTTTCAGCGGTTGTTAATGGTACTCAGAATTGCAATGTAAAGCCTTTGAAATGGAATATTGATGAGAGGGCCATGACCTATTAGAAAACATAAAATGGTTAATTATGTTATATTATTAGCTCTTTAATTAGCACCTTTCTTAATAAAATCTTTCATGCAGTGTTTCACTTTTATTTGTTCTTATTTCTCATAGAGATCTTCATTTTAATAAGTGAATTTAAAGTAACACACTAAGCCACAGCCGTTATAGCCAGTAATGATTGCTGAAATCATCCATTGCTTACTTTATTCTAATGAACATTTCCCTAGCAAAATTAACATTTTTGTTCAGGAGGAAAGAGCTTGGTTCAGATCATATAAAACACACATGCAAACTGTCTTGCTGTTTTTGAGCTTGTGCATCCCTATTCTACCTCCTTTTTCTACTCCCTGAACTCTCATTTTCTCTTTTACTAAATTAATCCAAGTATCTTGTTGGTTCAAAGAAATAAATCCTTTAAATTTCCAGTGAAAAATAAATAGACTAGCCAAATTCATTGTGTTTTAAAGACTTAAATGGTGACATGTTTTAGTTTCTTGTGGAATATCTGGTCTGTTTGTATGTGAATCAAATGATATTTAATAATACCATTTGTTTAGATGTGTAAATATTATCTTTCCAGTTTTGCATGAGTAATAATTGTTGAGAATTTTTAAATTCCACCTTGATGTATTTGTAGTTGGGAATTTTTCTGTCTCTATGTGTATCCTCTGACTCTAAAGATAAACTTAAAAATTTTGAAAGCTCTTGCAGTAATATCTGTGATTTCCTAATTTTCCATTCACTGAATCAACACTGTTTAATAAATATACATACCCATCTATTCATAGAGGAGAATAATATGCAATAATCTTAATCAGATGTGAAAATAGTGCTTCTGTATAGAAAGTAGAAATTAGTACATTGCTGTTTTAGAAGAAAAGGCTAACAGTATATCACCTGACTCTGGTATCATTTTACAACGAGATGAAATAATCTACTTCACATAATTTGGGATGGGGGAGGTGGGTATAATAATAGCCATTTTAAAAAGTGACATAAATACAGTCACTAGTAATACTCACCACCCCCCTTTCCCTGAAAACTGTAAAATAAAATCATAGCTAAAAAGAGTGACAGGGCTTCTTAGAATAGTTGTAAAAATGATAAGTTTACAAAATGATTATTTTAAGAAAGTATGATTTTAACTGTTAGCTAACTAATGTAACTACACAGACTTATAATTAACCACCCGCTCACTTTCCCCGTGATTCCGAAATGACAGGCACAGGTAACCGTTTGTTAAATTACTTTTTTGGAGAGTGGAGTGGGGAGAGTGATGGTGGAAAGATACAGCGCTGAGGATTAATTGCATAGAACGGTACCTCACTTTTTGCCATTCTTGCTCGTCTTCACAGTAAATGATGGACCAAAAAAAATCAAGAGAAAAGCTGAAACAGAATTGCTTTTGCCAACTTTCTTTTTGTCATATCTTGCCCTGAGGTTCTATGGGATTGTTTGAAGTGTTCTCCCCTGGCTTACCCTTATGCCAGCTGAACTTCAGCCACTGGGAAACTAGATCCCTCACTAAGCATGGAGAGAGTTGCCCTGGCCTCACGTTCCTGGATGCTGCTTCCTCCTCCCTACGTTTTTTATGGTTCCACAAAACGACCATCTCCTTGAGCCTTATTTATTCGTTCAGCAAACCGTTATCCCTTACACTACTAGTGTAGGATACATTGGGAGACATCAAGATAAATAAGAGGTGATTTCTGCTTTCCAAATTAAGTCATTTACAAATATCAATAACAGAGGCTAAAAAAAAATATTAGTAAGAGGAATGAATGAATTAATTATATATACAGAGGAAATCAAAATGTCTTTAAGATAGGGACATAGGAAGGCTTCATGGCAGAAAAGATAAGTATGCTTCAAGTCTTTGTTCCCTTACTTATGAGGGAATGTTTGTTGTTTTTAACTGGAAGTAAGTACATATTGCGAAGGCTTCTGGGCAGTGTTGATCAGTAAAAAACATAGAAATATTTAGTCCTAAAACAACCTAAGACTGAGATGTCAAATATAGTTTTCATTGCATATGTAATACTTCTTGAGCTGTTGTCATAGAATTTTTCTAATTTAATGGTATTAAAAGTGAGAAAGTGGCTTATCTGAATATCCTGTTGTATGGAGTTCTTCTTGGTTTTAGAAAAAGGGCTTTATGGGTTTTCGTTAATAAGTTTTTATAATACAAGTTCATGTTTCCTATTTCTCCTTTGTGATAAAGCCCCAACTTGGGCCCTGCTAAGCAGACATGGAGGATAGGAGACACTCGTGGGAACATGAAGACAGGCCATAGCTGTGATGCTGGAACACCCACCTTGCCGTACACTTTCAGCTCAGCAGCAATTACCTGAGCATAAGAAGCTTTAAAATGTCCCCACATGTATCATTTTCTCTTTTCGTGGGAGAAGGAGAGAGATAGTAAAGGCTAGCAGGAAGGCATTAATGAAGGAGACAGTACAAAATGTAAGTGGTGGGAGGTTGCTGGTTACCAGTTAGATTAGCAAGTTGAAATTTTTTTCTTCCATTTTTAAAGATGGAATTATGGTGACCTACTTTCTCCCTTTAAACGTTTTAGTATATCCTGCTTTCTAGAGAGACTGTAGAAACATATAAAGATGTGGATTTAAAGAAAACTGTAGGCAGCACTACTGTCTTTGGCAAGATGTGACTTCAGCTCTTACTTTATTTACTGGAAACTGTTGACGTTGGAGATGAGAAAAAAGTTCCTCAAGCCACCAGGCTGTTTGAGGATGCATATCTGGAATAGGTGTCAGGAAGTCACCTACCTTCTTGGGCCTCAGTTTCTTCATCTGCAGAATTAAAGGGTTGTATTCGAAGGTTACTTCAAGCTTGAAGAATCATTGTTGATTCTCTGTTTTTGGATGGGGGGAAATCTTGAGTTTTTATTGAGCTTAGTTTGAAGCTTTGCTATACTTCTTGCTCATCAGCATCTAACAGGAAGAGCAGGCATTGAAAGAGAAAAACAGAGACCCAACTGGTTAATCTCCTCTTCTCGCTTTACCTTGACATTCAAGATCAGAACACAGTATAAATTCTCTCCTTGCCCACGGGGTGCAGGGGAACGGGGAAACACGAGGTGAAGCTTCCTATTCTGCTTATTAACTTGCACCCCATGCCTGTGTTCAGCCACTAATGCAGTCAACATCAGTATTATGTGATGGGCTGCACCTTCGCCCCCACTTCCTTCCCAGTCTCGGAGCACAGTCTTCCTTTACGCTGACAACCTTGCTCTGATTAAGGGGGTATGAACAGGTAAAGGTAAAATACTGTTTTGGAGTCTACAGTAATCATGTACCTGAGGGATAATCAGGATTTTTTTGCAGCTACTTGGCCCCTTGAATTTTCCATATCTGCTTGAAAAATATTTGAAAATCTTTTTATTTAAATCTAGAGCGTAAGCAAACTCAAGAACCATTTCCTCGGATTTCTGTTTCCTCTTCCTCAACTCAAAGATATCTCCCAAGTCAACTCTTAATTATCCAAGGGTTAATCATTTATAATTGTCTAAGTGTTTGTCTCCACTGCCCCTCTCTGCCTCTTGCTGCTTGTCTAATGACTCTGAAATGGTTTTGTTGTCTAAGAGGTTGAAGCTAATTTCGGATAAAGTGAAAATTTGTGGATTTTTCTGTGAATTGGATTGCTTTTTGCCACTTTAATCCCGTTTTGGCGTACTACAGCTGCTGAATTTTAGCAATCATTGTTAATTCTAAATTACACAGGGTGTTAGAGCAGTAGATGGCATAGAAAGTTCAGGCTCATTCAGTGAGAGTTTTACCCGCTGCCTTCTAACTGTCAGGTCCTGTGAGTCTGTGTACCTTTACTAGCGTGGGAATGCTTTGGGGATGCCATCTGTGAGAGAATCCTGTCCAGATTATAATAAATTGATGAGACCCGAAGAAAATTATTCATATGGTAAATATAGTATAAAAATACTCACATAGTGAAAAATGCCGGCATCAGAGATTTATTTTTAAAGAATAAAAAATTCTTAACCTTGAATAATCATCTCATCTTTCACTAGGAAAATCTACAGGACTATCACATAGGTTAACATAAAAGGCAGCGTAATCTATGATTTTGTTTATAATAGTTGGCAAGAATATTTGAGAACAGAAAACCTCCTTTATTTTAAAACCTTTGTATCTCTTTTTTCCTTTTCAGGCTAATTTGTGCTTTGTGGATATTGACAACCATTTTATTGAGCTGCCTGAGGAATTCCCACAGTTCCCCAATAAGGTGGATTTTATCCAGGAACTCTCTGAAGTTCTTCTTCAGTTTGGGATCCCTCCGGAAGGCAGCCTGCACTGCAGTGAGAGTGCCACCAAACTGAAGAATCTGGTTCTGAAAGACTTGGTCAATGACAAGAAGAATGGCAATGTCTCTGCTAACAGCATCAGCATGTACGAGTTACTCAAGGGCAATGAAACCATAGCCCGCCTCCAGGCTCTGGCCAAGCGGACCGGTGTGACAGTGGAAAAAACGGACCTCTCTGCCCCTCTGGGTGAAAAAGAAAAGGATTTAAAACTGCAATGCGAAGAGGCAGAACTAAGGGACTACCAGCTCAACGTCCAGCTCCGAGAGGTCTTTGCTAACCGCTTCACACAGATGTTTGCAGATTACGAAGCGTTTGTGATTCAGACTGCCCAGGACATGGAATCCTGGCTGACCAACCGGGAGCAGATGCAGAACTTTGACAAAGTAAAAAGAACCATCGCTTCCCTTCTTAGGGTTCTTAGTGGCCGTATTATTGCTTTTGTTAACTTTTTTTAAACACACGTTTTTTCCTCTCTCTCTTTTCTTTACCAGCATTTTGCACTACATGAAGTAATTTTGCAGGAAAGCAAATCATCTAGCTCATTAAGCTGGTCATTGAAGTGTGTTAAATTGCCTTTAGCCTCATTTTAAAATTTTCTATACTTAGAAAATGCTTGAATTATAGAAACTCTTAGATTTCACAGGTTTTTCAAATCTGTTAACACTATCCCCTTGTAAGAGTTTTATTTACTCTTATTTTAGGATCAAGTCTAGTTCAATGAGGCTTATTCCTTTTCTAATATATCCTTATACTTTGTCTTCAACCTATAGTGAAGTCACAACTTATCCATGTAAAGGTAACAAACCGTTTAGTTTCAGAAGCCAAATTTTTAACTCATTTTAGGATCAAAAGAGAGAAAGAGTGAATAAATGAGGTTTTATGACTGTAAGTCTGAGGCTCTGTTCCAGTTTTTGGAAAGGGAAGACAGAAAAAACATCTGATGGTTTTGTGAAGAAAATCTGGCAGAAGGATATTCTATAGTAAACCTTGGAAAGAAGCTTTGTCTGATTGTCCTGCTGAAGTCGAAGCTTCTTTCTAAGGTTACCATGGAGTATTCTTCTGCCAGATTTCCTTGACATATCCATCAGATTTTTTTTTTTTTCAGACAAAAGCACTTAGGGATGGGCACTAACTCTTTCAGGTCACCAGGGCATAGTTGAGTCCCCTGCCTTGGTTGCTGAGGCATGTTATTGCTATTAGAATGAATTACAGCTTCTCGCTAAATGGGGATCTTTGTGTCACGAAAGACCTCTCAAAGGGGCGAATACCTTCTAAGAGACTAATCTACGATCTTGGAGCATCTGACAAATAAGTACTAATAAAAAATTTTTGTAAAGGTGGGTAGTATAAAAGATTATTTTCTGATCTCATCAGATAATTTTTCAGATGGACGATATAAACTATGTTGAACAGTTAAGTTCTGATACACATTATATTGGAGAAAAACTTCTTTAATAAATTAAGAAGGCTTCCCTTTTCCAAATATATTCCTGCTCTTATGTTCCTTTCTCATTAAGCTTAACCATTTTTCCACATTTTTTCCTATCCAGCTTGGAACTAATCTGTGTACGCCCATGATTTATCCTTGCGGCAATTCAAATTCTTATCTAAATTGAGCACTGGTACTTTCTTCCTTCCTAATCTTTATGTAGCTTCAGACTATAAATGGAATTCTTTTTATATAACCCCTAGAGAAATGGAAGTTTCATGCTGGCTTGTAATCATCTTTTTCACTAGGAAAATTTACAGGACTATCACGTATTGGTCCTGCAAACTATGTCTTTGCTGACTTTAGATGTTGTAGTCCATGAAGGTCTGAGTATGAAAAGCCAGACATTTTGTGCATTTTTTAAAAAAGGCTGTTTGCTCCATAAAAAGTAAAATTGATGTTTATCTGTAAAATACCTTTGAAGAAGTGAACTGATTTTTAGAGATTACCGCGAACCTTCCTCTGGCTATTTGGGTTTATGTAAATACATCTGAACTATGGAGTCACTTAAATTGAGTTTGGGTTTCTGTAAGGAAGTTTTTAAAAGGCTTCCTGAATTTCAGAATGAAAAATAAATATGCTAGAGAGAAGCTGATGAGCGTTAAGGAGAGTAACCTTATATCAGAACCTACTTCGGTCTTTCCCCTTCTGGCTTCTGCCACACTGCATCTACTCAAAAGAAGGCAAAGCAAAATCAACCCAGCAGCTGAAATACTAATTCTCTTCCAAATTTCAGCTGGTACCAAATTGCAGCTAGAATGCCTGTACACACGTGGACCAAGAGCCACAGAGAAAAATCAACACTTTGAGTTAGGAACTGATTACGATTGACCGGACCATCCCATGCAGCAGACAAACTGGTAACAGAAACGTGTGGCTGGTAGCACACATTTTCCAAAGGCTTGGCTTGCTTCAGATGGTTTTTCAGGCAAAGCTTTTTTTAGTTAAGGCCCAGACTGTCAGCACTGGTCTGGAAGAAGTTTAATCTTGAATTAACACTCATTCATCAGTCTCTAACAGCGTGGTGGCCTAGAAAAACATCCACTTTAAGAAGAACAAAAAGATTTCACCTATAAGCCCAAATTCCATGTTGGTTTTTTTAAGGTTATCACTTATGTATATATCATTATCGTGTGTCCGTTAATCACCTCACTGCCTTATGACTCGGAGGTATGTTACGTAGGCTAGGAATAGAAAGCAGAAGAAATTACAGCCAACCGGGGAAAGGGGTCAAATTTAATGGTAAGTGAAGAGGATGATTGACGATCATGTAGCAACTGATCCACCATCTTTCATTAGTGGTGCTCTCTTTTCTGCTTAATGGTCATGAGGATCAGAGTGTAAATCAGTTTTGAAAGGTAAGATCAGTGCTAAAGACTGAAGTGACCTAAATTCCATGAATTTAGAAGAAAGAAAGCGCAGTGAATTTTTAAGGATTTTTGAATGTCAAGCATCAGTTTTGTGTGTTATGAGGTTAAAGAAGAATGACCTTAGCAAAAAATAATTTTCAGATTTATCATGTAAAGTTGAGATGGTCTCTTTGCACTAATTTCCTAATTATCTCCTTACAGGCTTCCTTTCTGTCTGACCAGCCTGAGCCTTACCTGCCATTTCTTTCACGCTTCATTGAAACACAGATGTTTGCCACCTTTATTGATAATAAAATTATGTCTCAGTGGGAAGAGAAGGATCCTCTGCTTCGCGTCTTTGACTCTCGGATTGAGAAGATAAGACTGTATAATGTGAGGGCACCCACCTTGAGGACATCTATATATCAGAAATGCAGCACTTTAAAAGAAGCAGGTACATGTGCCGTGCCTTTTCAAATTAACTGAAAACCCGCGCTCATTTCCTTTTACACACTGTTGGCCTTAGAAACCACAAAATTAATTTTCAGTTTTGGACTTCATGGTTAATCCTTGCACTGTATCAAGAGATGCTTTCTATAGTTTTGTTTCCTTCTGTTTCTGTGAGTTGATGTCCATCCTATTACTACTTGACATTTTTCTTCTCTTAGAAGAGGAAAAACGATAACAAATGGAATGGGGTATAACTACAAGGTTGCTATGATTTTCGTCTCTCTTTATTGCCTCAATGGAAAAAAATGTTTATTTCTATCTTGCTGTTTATGTTGCCATTTTACCTCTCACCTCTTTTCTCTTTATCCAACAAAAGGTACGTATTAACTTAAAAATAGTAAATCTGAGATGCTACCTAATTTACATAACTGAAACAGTATATTTTCTTTAGTGGTGCCCTTAATAGCTTCATTTATTGAAGTTAAATCTCTGGATTCTTGTATTCAAATTAAGGGTTCCCCAGCCCTGGCACCAGTTTTTCCTCAGAGAATTGAGTCTTGTCCAGCCTTGTCTGGAAGTGGAATGTAGTCCATTAAATAAATAATTGTATTAGTAGTCAATGTTTACTGAGTACTTATTACGTGCTGGACATTATTACCTGCATTTTTGCATTTGATCTTGATGATGAGGGGGTACAGACACATTGCTTTTGTTTTATAACTATCCTCATTTTCAATTGATAAGAGGGTAGATAACCTTACTTGTGATTGATATCTAGTGATTGGTGGAGCCATGATTTGAACTCAGGTTTGACTTATTCTAGCACCCGAAGCCTTCCTACCATGTCAGCTATTCATTCAATAAAGAAACAAGTAAAATGTACCAATCCATGCAATTTTATACATTTGTACCTGGTTCCTAACTCTTTCTTTGCCAAATAAACTGATATTTATCACCTGAGTACCCCCTCCTTTTCTTTCTTTCCCTTTAAATGTAGGCACTATTTGAAAGCAATTTTTCCTCTGGAGAAAAAGGTGGCAGCGAATGTGAAATTTCTTTGCTCTGCCTCTGTTGCTTGCCTTTCTCACTTTATTTAAATAGATCAAAGTCATAGGAGTGATGATGCTGTAGTTGTGGCATATTTAAGGAAAGAAGTATGTAAATGATGTCTTTTATGTAACCATAGAGATCTCTCTGATAACTCGCTGAAGCATCGTGCTGCTGTATTCCCACTTATGAGCGTCAATCCTTGGCGCCCCTTCAGGAAGTGGCAGTTACCTCTGTTTCTGGAAATTGAGGGAGTAGAAAGAATGAAATTGTCCATGGCTGTTCAGAGAATAGTATGACTTTCAGTGCTGTAATAGCCATATGAATAGTATAATGCCTTGTTGAACAAATTTCATTCCTCCCTTCCTGACAAAATGTTGAGCTAAACACTGATTCTTTTCTTCATGTGCTTCCAGAAAATATTTTCAATTAAAGTAGATTTTCTTTCAGCCTCTCAAAGAGTTTGAAACTCCCACTTGTCATCGCAGAAATTATATGATACTCTTGAAAATGTACCATTATAGATTTAACATATATGAAAATGAGATTCGGCTAAAGCAATAGTCTCCTAGGAGCTTAATTTATCAAAGAATTTTTTGAGTAAAAGGAGACAGCTGGCTGTGACTGTGTCTACCCCTCAAAAATGGGGTAGTTCTTTCTTCTATCAGGTCAAATTGTTGTCCCCTCTACCCTCACAAAAGCTTTAGAGATTGGGATTTTGTTGTCAACGTTGGATTTTTATTGTGTTGGGTTTTTTTTGTCTTTTGTTGTTTGCTTTTGTTTTTGTTTGGCCAGTTAACTAAAAGGAACTCTGATTTGCAGGTCAACTCTTTAGGCAGAGGCTGTCTGCTGTTGACATTGTGGCACCAGAACCTCATGATTTCTGTGCAGAAAGACAAGAAGTTGATAGTAATGCAGAGTTTTCTTTTTCCTTACCAATCACAGAAAATGAATACTGGCACCAACCCTTGAGTGTAACAACAGCTCCATGACCTCTCAAAGCAGGCATTTAATAATTTCTGAATGTTCAGTATTCACTATAATCGCTGAAAAGTAGCTTTGCATTATGCTCCTTATGTCAATCTTAAATGTAAACCCTAGAGTAATCCATTGTGAATTATTACTTTTGTTTTTAAAAAGCATCCTAACTCAAGGAGAATAACTGCATATCAGATGGATTTCTCTGTGATTTTAAGTCCAATGGAAAAACTGAAGCTACTTTTCCTTTTTTCCTTCTGTGAGGACTCACTGGCAGAGACGGAATTTTGTAGTATTTCATGGAACATAAAATTGGCAGGGACTGCAGGGAATTCCATGCCATGAATCTAAGCATTATTTTGCCTAAACCATCTCTTAATTGTGATTTATAAGCATTAAGAAGCATTGAGATGATAGGAAGGATTGTGGAGAGCCAGGGACCATCGTTGAAAATTAAATATCGTTTCCTATTACAACAAGACATGCTTTTGCCCAGCATAGAACATATGGTCTATGTTTCAAGAGAAGTTACAAGTTACACATTAAAAATAAAATGAAATTCAAAAAAGCATTGGATAAATTCCTATGGGTTATGGAGAAAAATTAGGCAAGTTTAAAATAGATATCTAACATTTCGAAGTTTGAGTCATAGAGGGTAATAGTGACTTCCACAAAGCTTCCCTTAATGGCTGTTGTCAAACACAGCAGCTGGCTTGGGAGGAGCATTGATCTCACATAAGACAATATTAAGCATGTTCTTTTCGAGTAGCGTGTGTCATGGACAGACCCCTCCCCGCCCCCAGGAATTTTTTAAGGCTATGTATGGGGAATAACCATCAGTACTCAATCTGCTGATATTGAAAGAGGCAAAATAAACTGATTCCAGGAAATATTTATAAAAATACTCTTTTACTTCTCTTAAATCCCAAGATTAGCAGTTCCCACGCTGTGTGTTGTTTATCACACAACCACAATCACTGCTTGCCCTCCTCTTTTAGAAATCTCTAGGCAAAGGATCAGAGACATAGTCTTGATTCTCAAATAGTACATTTTCTCCTGAAAATTCAGTTGATAAAAACATTTAAGTTCAGATTTTTTTTACCCGAGAAATCATTCGCTGTTTCTTGGGGCTTTGAGACGTCCTCCTGACTTTAAGTGGTTTTAAAATAGAAATGTTGAGTAATTCGTATCTTTTAACTTTGGCCTGTTTTATTCTTTAAAAGGCTAGTTTCTTATCTTCTGGACATTTTTTAAATGCCTGCTTATTTTATTTTTCTCTCTACCCCTCTTGATCTAATAAACACTCCTAAATGACTCCTACTAATGAGAATGTGACTGTTGCTAAAAGTGAGGTAATCAACTTCACCCAGTTCCTTGTCCTTGCAAATGGAGAACCACAGATATTCAATGAGTCTTTGCACAAAGAAGCAAAGTAGTAATAGAAGGCTACTGTGCTTGCTTTTCCTTCCGTTTATTTGTCTTTCAGCCAAAGAAAATATTTGACTCGCCATTATTTTCTTTAATGTTATACTTAGAACCATATTTTCATGAAGAATATTGAATTTCTCACTTAAGGGAAACTGTCTCAATACTAAATTATAGATTTTTCAACCCCGCTGCCCTGCTTTTGACAAAGGCAGAAGATACCATGAAAATTAATCATCCAGTATTTACTTAAAATTAACCTTTTTCTACTTACACTATACTGATTCCTGAAGAGCTTTTGTAAAAATCTATCTCAGATTGTCAGAAAGACTGAGTTCCTTGTAGGTGCATGAGTGAAGGAAACATAATTTTTTAAGGTTTAGCCAATGAAATGTCTCTAATTTGTTATAAATTTAATTTATAGCCCAATCAATTGAGCAGCGACTGATGAAAATGGATCACACTGCAATCCACCCACATCTGCTTGATATGAAAATTGGTCAAGGCAAATATGAGCAAGGGTTCTTTCCAAAGTTACAATCCGATGTCTTGGCAACAGGACCAACGAATAACAAGTAAGCATGTTCTCTTCTTGAGCTGTTGGTTGAAGGAATGAATGGTGAGCTGCTCTGCAACTCTAAAGAGGCAATGCTTAACCGTTCAACCACCTGTCGGTCTGATCACTGTTTTCAGTGACCAGATCCATATGAAATAGGAATTGACACTCTAAGTATTTGACTTTTAATTTCGTCGTGTAAAAAAATCCAAAGACTAGGGTTTTTTCTTTTTTAAGTAATGGACACTTGGGAATAGCTTCACTTTAAATGACTGTGTTTACATATAGTGCTAATATATTGTCTAATGGAATTAGAAAAGTTACACTTTTCGCTCTCTGTATTAGTTTCCGAGGAGTGCTTTAACAAAGTCCTATAAACTCGATGGCTTAAGACAACAGAAAATTATTCTTTTGCAGTTCTGGGATCTGGAAATCCAAAACCAAGGTATTGGCAGGGCCATGCTCCCTCGAGGCCCCTTGGGAAGGATTCTTCCCTGCCTCTTCCGACTTCTGGTAGCCTGAGGCATTCTCTGGCTTGCAGCAGCATAGCTCCAGGCTCTGTCTCCATCTTCACGTGGCTGTTATCTCTCTGTGTCTGTGTCCAAATGTCCCTCTTCTTATAAGGACACCCATCATGTTGGATTAGGGCCCATCCCAATGACCTCATCGATTACCTCTGCAAAGACCTTATTTCCATATAAGGTCACATTCACAGGTATTGGAGTTAAGACTTCAACATATCTTTTTGGGGGACGCAATTCAACCCATAACACTATCATTTGCACTTTTTAAGTATCAAGTGCAAAAACTACAAAACAACCAAACGTAAAGGTCATAGGGGCTGCCCCAGTGGTGCAGCGGTTAAGTGCGCACGTTCCGCTTTGGCAGCCCGGAGTTTGCTGGTTAGGATCCCAGGTGTGGACATGGCACTGCTTGGCAAGCCATGCTGTGGTAGGCGTCCCACATGTAAAGCAGAGGAAGATGGGCATGGATGTTAGCTCAGGGCCAGTCTTCCTCAGCAAAAAGAGGAGGATTGGCGGCAGTTAGCTCAGGGCTAATCTTCCTCAAAAAAAAGGTAAACCATAGCTGTCATTCTTTATAATAGATAATTCCATTCAGAAAATATCTGAATGTAGTTAGAATTGAAAACAGTTATTTGGGTTTATTGCAGTTCTTGATTTTAGGTGAATACAAGTGAGTAATAAAGAAGAGTTTTACAAGAAAGGATGCAAAGGAGGGTACTAATGAATAATGTGGTAAGTTGGAGAGAAAGAGCTTTGAATTGGAAATCAGCAATTCTGGAATTTAGTTCATTCTGAGCCACTCACCAGCTTAGGAACCTTGTACAAGTTGGAATCGCTTGCCTCTTTTCTCCTCTGAACATACTCTAACATTCTGCAACATCTGTGATCTCATTAAAGAGGATCAGAGAACGACCTTAGGCAAAAGAAACCAGGCGGAGGCCAAGAAATGGGATAGCAGACTGAACTAAAGACAGGGTACAGAAAACGGAAGCAGCATTGAGCCACCTGAATTTTCAGAAGGCAAGTAAAGAATCAGTGAGGGGAAGAAAAAAGGTGGAATTATGCCTTTTGACCTAAATGGCCCAGACTAAATAAGTAACTAACATGAAGATTCTTGAAAGCTGGCTTAAAAGTTTGATAGTTGTATCTTTCAGTTGATCTGCTGAATTATATGTTGCAGAATTTTCTATACTTACCTCTTTATTTCCCAAGATGCTTTGAATAAAGCAGTGATGAAAATTTCCCAAGTTCATGACTGAGATCTACAAGGGGATGGAGATTTATAATAATAAATACTAGACTCTGAAAGGAAAAGCAGCAGCAATGTGTACAGTTAATTTGCAGGGTTTCACCCTCCACTGAAGGGCTGTCCCTGCTTTGATAAACACTGAACTTAAAAACGTGCTGAGAGGGGCTGGCCCCGTGGCCGAGTGGTTAAGTTCGCGCACTCCGCGGCAGGCGACCCAGTGTTTCACTGGTTCGAATCCTGGGCACAGACATGGCACTGCTCATCAAACTACGCTGAGGCGGCATCCCACGTGCCACAACTAGAAGGACCCACAACAAAGAATATACAACTATGTACCAGGGGGCTTTGGGGAGAAAAAGGAAAAAAATAAAATCTAAAAAAAAAAGAAAACGTGCTGAGACTGGGGGCTGACCCAGTGGTGCAGTGGTTAAGTTGTTGCACTCTGCTTCAGCAGCCCAGAGTTCGTGGGTTTGGATCCCAGGTGCAGACCTACACACTGCTCATCAAGCCACGCTGTGGCAGCGACTCACATAGAAAGTGGAGGAAAATTGGCACAGATGTTAGTTCAGGGACAGCCTTGCTCAAGAAGAAGAGGCAGATTGGCAACAGATGTTAGCTCAGGGCCAATCTGCCTCAAAAAAAAAAAAGCCTGTGCTAAGAGTGTTGCATTGACCTTTGCAGGAGTCAGACTTTTCCAGATCATGGTACTAGGTACATTGTTCTATTTTTCAGAAGTGGATGAGAATTTTCCATCAGAACAGATGAGTCATTAGTTTATTCATTTTTTTCTTATGTGTGTAAAATATCCTAATTGTTTGAAGCACTTTGATATGGGTAGACTATTAATTTTAGTAGTTTTTATTTCCTTTTCATAGTGCTAGATTGCTCATTCAGGGGCTGGTCCCATGGCCTAGTGGTTAAGTTCAGCAGGCTCTGCTTTCGTGGCCCGGATTCAGTTCCCAGTGGGTGCACCTACACCACTCGTCCACAGCTATGATGTGGTAGCAACTCACATACAAAATAGAGGAAGATTGGCACAGATGTTAGCTCAGGATGAATCTTCCTCAGCAAAAGAAAAAAAGAAAGATTGCTCATTCATTTATTTGACAAATATTTATGTGAGGCGCTGTCCTCGTCACCGGGAATTTAGCAATGAACAAAACAACAAAAATCCCTGCGTTCAAGTCCAAGGAAACAAACAATAAAGAAACTTAATATGGGGGCTGGCCCTGTGGCCGAGCAGTTAAGTTCACATGCTCCACTGCAGCGGCCCAGGGTTTCACCGGTTCGAATCCTGGGCGTGGATATGGCACCGCTCATCAGGCCACGCTGAGGTGGCGTCCACATGCCACAACTAGAAGAACCCACAAGTAAAAATACACAACTATGTACTGGGGGTGCTTTGAGGGGGAAAATGAAAAATAAAATCTTAAAAAAAAAAAAGAAACAATATGTAAAATAAGTAACCTGTCAAGATAGTGATAAGATTTGTGATGAAAAATCAAACAGGGGAAGGAAGTAGGGAGTGCTTAGGAGGGAAGATTTCAATGTTTAAATCTTACGGCTGTATTTTCTAGCTTTTGATCTTATATATAATCTCAAAGGTTCGCATTTCCACACTGAGCCCCAAGCATTACATTTTCGGGTAGATTGTAGTCTGCAAGAGAAAAGATCTCAGAACTAATTGTAGGGCAAAGGGATTTATACCCATGCCTGTGTAAATGGATGATCAACTGTTAGAGAGATTTTAATATGCTGCTTATGAGGCAAACACAAAGAAGCAATCTTTAGTGTTTCAGCAAATGTAATCATCTTTGGTAAAATTATGCTTAGAAAATGAGGTTTAATAATGCAAAGAATAAATTGCTTAACAAGACCAGGAATGTGTGGACTTCATAGTAATTTTCTTAAGCGGATGCTTATTTCCCTGTTTTGAAAACGAAATTAAATAGGGGATTTTATCCCACAGAGTATGTAGTGAGATGCTGGTTATAGTATGTAAGTTAATACTTGTCCTTTTCTTTACCTAAAGCCTTTTCCACTTTTGCCATTTAGATTCTACTCCTTCCCATTAGCTGGTGTTTACATTCTCTTTCATATTTTTACTATTCATTTGAACCACCCTACCCAGTAACCCTAATTTTTTTAAATCCCTGAACAAATGTTACTATCTTACGCTGACTGTTTTTTTTGCTACAGGGCTATTTCCAGGGCCTCCATGTCAAAGATCTATACCCAGGTCTTTGTAAAATTTGTTTTTTACTTTCATTTTACTCTTCCCCTTTATTTGTTATATAAGTTTATCTGTTGGTGTTTATATTCTGCTTCAGAGTTGTTAAAGAAAAAAAAATACTCACAAAACTTGTTGAAGATGCTAAGCCTGACTTTAGTCAAGGGGGGCCATGGTGACAGGTGTCGGGGCCACAGCAATGGGGTTTGCAGTGGGGGAGAGCGATCAGATTCAGCTTCAAATATGGCATGGGTAGGTAGGAATGTATAGTCAAGGAGTAGAGTAGCATCAGTGGATGGAAAATTCTGAGAGGAAACACAGCGGTAAGGGGGGTTCTCACAAACTGACCTAACACGATTCTTACAGAAGGGAGGCCAGGCTCACTAGACATCACCTGGGGCACGGTGGCGCATGAGGAACCCGATCAGATATGAGAGTGATCATGTCCCGAGGGTAGCCAGATCCTGCTAAACTGACTTCGCAGGATTCTTGCTAAAAGTGGATTTTACAAGGAAGTGCGCGGATGGGCCTAGGAGAAGGTTCGGGAGCCTGACTAAAATATGTTCAAGCAGAAGACCTTGATCAGTGTCTTAATATGGCTTTTTCTGGATCATCCTTTTAGGCTACCCCAGTTCTCTTTGTATCCTTTTTATAGTCTTACACTTACACTGATCTCTGCTTAGGGACATTTCCAAGGATTCCACTTCAAAGATCTGTCACTAGATCTTTGTACTTTCTTTTCCTGATATAAACCTATTTTTTTCAAACTATTTTAAGAGGGGCTACGTTCCTTGCTACCATTTTTATCGTCATTATTCAGTGTTCCTCTAAATAGCAGACCAAGATGAGATGATTCAGAAGCTTGAAACCAAAGACATGCATAAATTATTTAAAAAGCAACAAAAGAAGTAGTGTTTCTCAATTTAAGCTTTTTGTAAATTGGATACTTTATTAATAAAAAATTAAAAATAATACATTGTCCAGTAATGCCATATCACTTTTCCTGAATGGCTAAAGTATAAATTCATTTTGAAAATTGTGTCACTCTGTAACGTCAAGGATATGCTCAAGAGTAAATATTCTTAGAATAGTGTAGAGAATACATAGTCATGGGGATGGCAAGTCAAGACCTGAGAAATTTTTAAAAATAGTTTCATATAAAATGATATATGGAGGCTGGCCTGATGGTACAGTGGTTAAGTTCACATGTTCTGTGTCGGCGGCCCAGAGTTTCCCATTTCAGATCCCGGGTGCAGACCTATGCACCGCTTGTCAAGCCCTGCTGTGGCAGGCGTCCTGCATGTAAAGTAGAGGCCGATGGTCACGGATGTTAGCTCAGGGCCAGTCTTCCTCAGGGGGAAAAAAAAAAAGATGCATGCTCATTAGAAAATTTAGAATATTGGAAAGTGGTAGGATAAATTTTAAAACCACTCATAATACCATCACCATGAGATGTTAATATTGGTGTTACGCTCTTCCAGTGGATGGATCCTGGTGTGCGTGCATGTGCACATGGTCACACTTTTTTTTTTCTTTTTACGAAATTAGAATATTGCTTATACAATGTTATATCTTGCTTTTTTACTCATTATTGTATCATGAGCACTCTCCTATATTATTAACATTCCTAGAAACTTGATTCTTTAATGACTATGATATTTCATTTTGTAGCACTCCCTGCTTTTGAACGTTTAGGTTATTTTGAGCACATTTACTTGATTCTAAGTAACTGCTGGTTGTAAGATCTGCTATTAATTCAAGAGCTTTTGGGAAAAATTATTCATTCAACGTGCTTTTGGAGTAAAAGACACACTCTAATTTCAGGAACATTTAAAAGCCAAAATTTGAGTCTTGGTGTAAAGGAAACACAGAATTTGTTACTGCATAAGCTGTGATGGACATCCGTAACAACCTAAGTGTTAGACTGCATCTCTGATGATTTACTTCGGGTTATTTCTAGAAGGGGCAGGTGACGTAGTAGGCTCTGCCAGTAAAACAGCTGACAGACATGATACCAGCTCTTCAAGAGTTTATAATAGAGCGGATTTTATAGAAAATAGAGATAAGTAAGTATAACACACTGTTGTAGGTACTGCTACTGGGGACTACAAGAGGGGTGGCTAATTTAGATTTGGGGAAATCATAGAACACTTTCTATGTGGACATCTAAGCTGTCTGAAAGATGAATAGAAGTTGGGAGGAAGTTTCATGGACAGAGGCTCAAAGGTGAGAACACTTATCCCATTGGAAACACTGAGGTGGCTGAAAACAGCTGGAGTTTTAAGGTAGAAGAGGTGATCAGTAGTACTCAACGTAACGGAGAGTTTGAGTAAGCTAAGAATCAAATAACAGCCATTGGATATGGCACTTAGGGGCATCAGTGGCTTCCTCAAGAGCATTTTCATGGGAAGAAGCTAATTTGAGATGAACTGAAGATCCAAAGGTAAATAAGTAGAAGCCTTACAGCTAAACTTTTCTCTTTAAGAATTTTTACACGAGAAGGGTGAAGAAAGATTTAAACGTAACTGTGGTCAAGAGAGCGACCAGCTTGCTTGTAAGCTGAAGGGAAATATTCGGTAGAGAGAGAGAAGAATTGGAGATACAGCAAAGGAGGTGACTAAGAGAGCAGGTTGAAAGAGGCAAGAGAGGGTTGGTGAGGGACACAGGTGGAGGAAGTAGTTTTGAGCCACAGCCAGTATATTTTGTGCTTTGAGATTAGAAGAAAGATGAGGTGCCTACGTGTGTGCATCGTTTAAGTAGAAGGCAGGAGAGGAGGTAAGAGTGGGTCATCAGTTGAGTGGAGGCGCTTGAGGGTGAAGTGAAAGGTTTGGAACAGGCTTTGAGGGGGATGGGCAGGGTGATAAAGGACAGGTAAAGTGATTCATGGGTAGTCACGAGAGGAATCAAGAACTAATCTACATGGGTAGAAGAATAGGGAAGTGAGAGGGTCGTATTCACCCAGGGTTTGGGGCTCTGTTGGCCGGGTAAGGTAGAAAGGAGAGGATCACTACAGAGGAGATACTGTGCATTTTTTAACCTCAGTTTTGAAAGAGTATTGATTGTGGTGATAGTCGTACATCTCTATGAATATACAAAAAACCCTTGAATTATGAGCTTTAAATGGGTGAATTGTATGGTATTTAAATTATATCTCAATAAAGCTATTATATATTTAAAAAAGAATTTATTGAAAAATAAGTATAATACTAAGTTGCTTAGTGATGGGGATAGGTTCTAAGAAATGCAGTGTTAGGAGATTTCATCACTGTGCGAACATCATAGAGTGTACTTACCAAACCTAGATGATATAGCCTACTACACACCTAGGCTGCATGGTACTAATCTTATGGGACCATCCTCTTACATGTGGTCTGTCATTGACTGAAACATAGCCGCGGAGCACATGACTGTATTGTCAGTCTTTGTCGTCAACAGTTCGTTCTTTCTATCTTAAAGATAAGTGATCGCATTGTTTTGGTTTGGTTGGTTGTTTGAACCTACACCTTGTCTTTCTTCAGTCGCTGGGTAAGTCGGAGTGCCACCGCACAGCGCAGGAAAGAGCGCCTTCGCCAACGTTCCGAGCACATTGGACTGGACAACGACTTGAGGGAGGTATGTGGGCCACCGTCCCGGAGGCCTTCGTGCAGGAGCCGTGAACGGGGCCCATTCAGCCCAGCAGGTGTCATGGTGTGGGTTCTTTCACCTTCTTTTAAAAAAATGACTCAGTTATATTTTAAAATAGTAATCCTTTTGTACTAACTTATAGCAGAGAACATCTTTTTTCCCATTTTTGTAATTTTAATATATCTAAAATAAGGCTCTAAAACAAGTCTCTCTGTGCACCCATCAAGTAAAGGCTAAGTTTAGGAGAAATTTTTGGTCAATGTGTCTCCTGTAGGGAGAGAAATTTCTAAGAAGCGTAGACATTTCTAAGTTTCAAGCATAATTTAAACTTAGTAAGTAAAGATGTGTTTGCTTGTGTCTCCTTGGCTTCCTGAGACCGTTTTTAAAAGTGTTTTTAAGTTAAGCTCGTTATGCTTTATTTGTACTACTTGAAAACAAAACTACATTTACACATTTGAATAATTATAAGTAAGCTGTGATTATTTCTTGTGATCAAAAGAAGAATGCAATCAGAAGATCTGTTAACTATTTTCTAAACTCAAATATGTAGAAATAAAGCAGAAAACATCACTCCAAATATATATAGGTTTTTGTTAATGTGTTCCTACCTATGTGATTTTAAACATTTTCTTGAGAACTGAAGCATAACCTGTCCAGTGCTTTTCTTTGTGCTCTGGAATTTTCTTCTCCCCCCTTTCTTTTGCTGTGACTTTATCAAATGCATGCTTGTTTTGCTTGTCTCTTTCTCCCTCTCCTTTTCTTTTTTGCTTTTCTGTCATTGGCACTTCTCCATCCTCTTAGCCTTCCGGGGAACTTTTGGTTCAGAACTCCATGGCATTCTGGGAGTGGGATCAGGGTCCACCTCCTCCTGCACGACTTCCTAAAAAATCCTTCTCTGAGTACTGCCTGGTATGTTCTTTGCCTGAAAGTGCTTTGCAGACGCTCCCGCATCTTGTCTTTGGTGTTCCTTGAGTTGGCCACATGCGTGAGTGCACATAGTTCTAGAACACCCCACATCACCCCGTGATCTCCACTCTCAGCCTCTCCATTTTGCTCTCCACTTCCTCGTGTGTTTGGTACCTCTTCATGGTGGTGTGCGCTAACACGAGTGACTCTGTGCTGTTGCCAAGTAAAACGGATCATTCAAATCCCTAGTCAGTGGGACTGGGGGGAGGGGACCAGATATAGCAAATTGTTTTCCTTCCAAAGGCAAAATATATTAAATAGTCAATCTCCCTTTTATTTAAGCATTTTGCAGAAGTGACTCACTTTCAAACAGCTGTTCTCTTGCTAGGTTTTTAGCTCCACAGTGTTTTAATTTATCCTTCCTGGTCTGTATTTTATGTGGTCAGAAAGTCAGGTCATCAGCATAGAATCTTAGTGCTAAGAGGAACCTTTGAGGTCGTCTTGTCCAACTTGACCTGATTTAACCAAAGTCTGGGAGACTTGGCCAAAGTTGAACGGACACACAAAGGTAGAGCTGTGCCCACAGTCCAAGCTCGTGACTTTCAGACCAGTACTCTTCCCCGTAACCCTGCAGGCCAGGCCGCACCAGACACCTACTCACCCGAGGGCAAGGATAACTTAGGACCCTTGGTGCTATTTTTTCCCGTTATGATTATGACATATTAGCATACATTAGCTTAACTTTGCCATGGTCTTCTCTTCACAAGCTCAGTGCCAGTTAAAGGGACATGGGGTTTATTAGAAAATCCAGGGTGAGCCTGTACTAAAGAGCAGTTAGTGCAGTGTTTTTTGAATAATAGGATAGATTTTCCTAGGAAGTTTCTAAAGGTTTGTTGCTTTTGGCTTCCACAGAAACGAAGACGAGCATAGTAGAACTCTCAGAAGAAATCTGGGATTACCTCCCTCTGTAGTGAAGTGACTTTATTATAAAAATATTCCTTGTGGGGACTGGCCTGGTTGCACAGTGGTTAGGTTCACGCATTCTGCTTTGGTGACCTGGGGTCTGCCAGTTGGGATCCCAGGTGCGGGTCTGTGCACCGCTTGTCAAGCCATGCTGTGGTAGGCGTCCCACATATTAAGTAGAGGAAGCTGGGCATGGATGTTAGCTCAGGGCCAGTCTTCCTCAGCAAAAAGAGGAGGATTGGTGGCAGACGTTAGCTCAGAGCTAATCTTCCTCAAAAAAAAAAAAAAATTCCTTGTGAAAGGTTTCTCTTTCTTCTCCATTTTTCATCTTAAAATATACCTTTTCCTCCACCTGCCCCAAAGAAAATCACGTAATTATCATTGTTGTTTACCGTAAAGGCACTGCTCTGGTCTTGCAGCAGCAGAGGCGGCCTCACCACCTCCTGTGAGAAAGGGGCTCATGCCCCCTCTGTGTGTCCCTGCTCTGCTTACCCGTGGAACGTTGCTGGTTCTGTGACTCCAGCAGAGATTCTCAGAAGGAGACTTCGCACATGGCTGCGCGGAGTTCATTGTTGGTTAATAACTGTACCTGCCCCACGTGTGCTGGGCGCTTGGCAAATATGACCGCTCCAAGGACAGCCCCATTCTAGCTTGTTTTCATTTATAAAATAGAACATGAACGTTAAAGCACACAAATTAAGTGCTTGATTTTTATCCAATTACTGACCTTTAAAAAACTAATTATTCATATATTTCAGAAAAAGACAAATGCCAGAGACTACATCCTAGCCTCCTTTTCTTGTAGCCAGTGTATTTCCTCCTGAGCCAAATTTGATATTAACTCTTCTTGAGAATTGAGTCTTGTGGTTGTTCTGTGTTTGCACAAGTCCTAAAGGTGGAGGAATTGAGGCTGGGGGAGAAACGGAACCCTTTTAACACTCACCAGTTAACATTTATTTTTCACCAGCCTTTTAGCTCTGATTTATAATATTCCAGCTAACATTAGTACAACCTGAAATGATAGGAAATGCAGGTATTATCCTTCTCTACAATCCTTGCCTTATATCTCAGGTTGGTTTTTCTAAAGCATTTCATTTACTGCCTTCATTTGTTTGAAAACTAACCTTCAAGATGTTTCGATAGACCTAGTTACACTTAATTTTCCTGGTGGTGATAGTTGTCTCTCATTCTTAATTCTTCCTCTTTCTTTGGCCTTCTGAAAAAGACTTAAAGCAGAAGGAAGTATCCACAAACTGTTAGGAGGACTAAATGCTTGCAGAGTCCATTTGATTTTTAAATCTGTCCTTAAAATGATTGCGCTGGGAAGGAAACATTGTTTCGTTAACACTGCGTTCTGTCAGGAGGGCTGAGAAGCGGCAGGTAAACTGATGAGTTAAATCCCTAATTAGTGGGATTTTAAAAAATTTGTACTAGATTTAGCAGATCGTTTTTCTTCCAAAGGGAAAATATATTCAATGTACAAACTCCCTTTTATTTCAAGAATGCAAAGGATTTTACACATCTTCTCTTATAATATCAAATTCTCCCCTTAACATAGTAAAGCTAGATCTCACATATGTGTCTGTGGGAGGATGTGCTGGCTTGCCGTCTCTCTCTCTCTCAAACTGCTAGTTTTACTATATAATTTAGAGCAGTTATTCCCTAAATATGATTGTAAGACACTTGGACTCTTGGGAGATTCTGCCCTGTGGTCCTGATGCAAACATAAGGTATCTGGATGAGCTTTTGCACGTGGCGCAGAAAGGAGAGAGAGAGCAGGGCCCCTGTCCTAATCATGTGACCATGTGTAGTGATTTTTTTTTTTCTCCTGGAAATTCACTAACCAAAGCTCAAGAGCAGCTGACTGGGTTTCTCTGGTCCTCTCTGAGCCATCACTGACTTTGAAAGTAATACAGTGTTTCCACTTTCTTTTGATTCTGGAACAAGGCCAGGGAGGGCTGTAGCAAACATGTCCCAGACACAAGAGGCCTCCTGCCTTTGGAGCACAGGACACTTGTCAGAGTGATCTCATAGCCCTTCTTAGAGGTAGGTGGGCATGTGTTATGCCCATTTCACAAATAAACAAATCTGCCCGAGGTCATAAAATTAGTTGCAACCAGATTCTAGAGCCCCTGCTTCTACTGTTGTGACTTGATTTGAAAAAAGGGTTGGGTTGACAAGCATTGCCCAAGAGGCTCGAAGGGCATGCCTCTCTGATCTGCGGTGAGAGGCAGAGGGAACCAGTGATCTGAGAATTCCTGCATTCCTGCGGGACCTTGGCTCTGTAATCCAGACACCTGAATTTCTCATCTCAACCACGATCCTGACTAATCACAGCCTGGGGTGTTCCCACCTAAAAAGACTCAACTAGATGAAATCTCTTCTCATTTTGAATGAGTTTTAACCTGATGGGGTTTCTGTCACGCTCATATTCACAGGGTTAACAGTTGAGGGGGGGAGTACTAATGTCTCGCCTTTTGATGCTCTAAAACTGGGATTGCTGTTGCACGTGTGCACATAAGGCCTTTTTTGCATCTTGTTCCTGCACTTGTTTGTGTAAGGTTAAGTAGGTCAGAGGAATATCTGAGGTTTATGCATTAAAAAGACTCTTTAATTTTCAGAAATATATGCAAGAGGCACGAAGTTTAGGAAAAAACCTGAGGCAACCCAAATTATCAGACCTCTCTCCAGCGGTGATTGCACAAACCAACTGGAAATTTGTGGAAGGCTTATTAAAAGAATGTAGAATGAAGGTACGTGTTACTCACTGATGCGGGACAGTGTGCGTTCATGTTGAGTCTGTGTGGGAGGCTGAGATGAGCTGAGTCAACCCCCGTGTGAGCCTGTGGCTCCCCTGGAAGAGAACCGGTATGAGGCATAAACCTCAAATGCCCTCTCCGCAGGTCGGGAACCTCCGTGAACTCTCCGTTCCCACAGAATCAGTGACATGGGAGCCCTGCCCAGTTTTTCTCAACTTTTCAGCCATTGCTGTCTTTCTCTCCAACACAAACAGATATTAAGCCAGTCAGAAGTTGTGTCAGGGATGTTAGCATCTTACGTGAAAGGCAACCCATTTTGTGTGTGTGTCTATTTGTACACCTGTGCAGAACCTTGTCCATGCACACGTGTGTCTGTATACCCATAAGGAAGAAGACTTCAGCTGTGTATATCACACACTAGTCTCCTCTCTTGACGTCTGTGTTTATCAGAGGTAGCAATAGAAAGTGACAGACGTCCTTTTAACCCATATTTTCATTCATTTATTTGACAGTCATTTCTTGAGTACCTTCTCTGTGTATTCAGTAAATGCACTATTTTCAGCATCAGCATATAGTGGTGAGTCAGACAGACAAGGTCCCTCCCTAAAGGAACTTGATTCTCTCCAACTTTACATTTTATAAGAGCTGCTAAGACGGCTATAAATGAACTTACTTGAAACTGATTTCCATTTCCTTTCCATTTTCTGGTGCATACTCATGAGCAGAGACTTGATAAAAGAGGAAAAGAGGAAGGAAAAAAAGAGGCCTGATTCACTCACAAATTGGAGAGTTCTGAAAAAACTGAGAGCTGCCCACTTGTCTTGTGGGTTTTGCCTAAGTACAATCAAGACTGAGCGCAAATATCTTTAGCATCCTGGGATGCGGGGGCAGCGGAGGGTGACTTGTGGTGGCAGGATGGGGTTTCAGAGCCTGACAGGACAATTTCTAGGTCTGGGGTAATTCTCCAATATTACTGAAGTTAGTGATCTAAAGATCGTTGTATGTAAGTATTTATACAGGGGTATTTTAAAATAGTATCATAGTCTCTCTTTAGTGACCCTGTGTTTCTCTGACGAAATAGAAAAGTATAGATGATATTATTCCAGTTAGTTAACCACAGAGATTAAGACCCTTTACCCAAGATGATTGAAAATCTGCAATTAGAGGTGTGATGAAGGGAACCCAGATCTCCTGATCCAGTAATTGACTCGTTGGTTTTTGGCGTCACTGCTCGGATAACCCTTGTGACCACACGTGATGTTTTCAGACAAAGCGCATGTTGGTAGAGAAGATGGGACACGAAGCAGTGGAACTGGGCCATGGAGAAGCGAACATAACCGGCTTAGAGGAGAACACCTTGATCGCCAGCCTCTGTGACCTCCTGGAAAGGATATGGAGCCATGGCTTGCAGGTTAAGCAGGTAACAGTCTCAGGAGGCCCTGGTGACATGGCCGGTTGGGGCCCTGTTAAGAAACGTTATGGGGCCAGCCCTGCGGTGCAGCAGTTAAGTTCGCGTGTTCTGCTTCAGCAGCCCGGGGTTCGCCGGTTCGGATCCCAGGTGTGGACATGGCACCCCTTGGCAAGCCATGCTGTGGTAGGCATCCCACATATAAAGTAGAGGATGATGGGCACAGATGTTAGCTCAGGGCCAGTCTTCCTCAAAAAAAGAAAAAGAAAGAAACATAACAAAGATGGATCCTGTAAAAATTAAAAGATACCTTCTTTTGTCACGGGCTGACTAGAAATGCACCACAGGCATTTTAATTCTAGAAAAAGAAAATGTAACCCATGATTAGGAGGTGGTTTGGAGCTCTTTCCTGGTAAACAGGAAAGGATAAAACAGCACATTCCCTGCAGAGGCTGTATCCCCTGTAGGTTCCATGAAGTGTCTGCTTTCGTCACTGTCCAGGAAAAATCTGTGAGCCACAATTAGCAGTTCTTTACCATTGTAAGTTATCTAGTTATTCAGGCTGGAAAAAGTCAAATGGTTTCTTTGCTTGGGTCCCTCTAGTCTCCTTGATTTTTTTCTGTTGTGTCACATTTCTTTCTTCTTCCCCTTTTCTCTTTCTCTTCTTGCCATAATTTTCTTCCGTCATTTTCATTCCATATATCCAAACATATTTTGCATATGGATGTGCACAAATACATTCTGTGCTGCTAGAGCCTTCTTTTTTCTTTCTTCTTTTTTCTTTTTTTTTTTTTCTGGTGAGGAGAATTGGCCCCAAGCTAACATCTGTGCCAATCTTCCTCCACTCTGCATGTGGAACACCACCACAGCATGGCTTGATGAGTGGTGTGTAGGTCCACACCCAGCATCCGAATCTTGTGGACTCCAGGCTGCTTCAGATGCACGAAGTCAACCACTACACCACTGGCTGGCCCTGCTCCCAGCATCTTTTAAATCCATGGTTATTAGCATGGCCAGTATAGACAGTCCTAATTACATACAACTCAATAACAACTGAGCTGAAGTCAGAAATCTCCGTGCCTGGGGCCAGCCCCATGCCCGAGTGGTTAAGTTTGTGCGCTCTGCTTTGGCAGTCCAGGGTTTTGCCAGTTCGGATCCTGGACACGGATATGGCACTGCTCATCAAGCCATGCTGAGGTGGTGTCCTACATGCCACAACCGGAGGCACTCACAACTAGAATATGCAACTATGTACTGGGGAGCTTTGGGGAGAAGAAGAAGGGGAAAAAAAGAAGATTGGCAACAGATGTTGGCTCAGGTGCCAGTCTTTAAAAAAAAAAGAAATCTCTATGCCTGCACTTCTGGTCTTTTTCTTTAGCTGCCCTTCCTGAGACCGTTGGCAGTCACACACTGAGACAGTGAGGCAAAGGGTGACCCTCACTGCACGTGGAGTGAGATGCTATGAAGGTCACACAGCTAGCAATGGATGAGCTTGGGTCTCCAAACTTCAGAACGGCCATTTCAGTGTGAATGGTTTTGATGAGAAATTATTTTTTGATGAATTCTTTCTTATAAAATGAAAAAACGTGTATACCTTGTACTTTTCAGGGGAAGTCGGCTTTGTGGTCACATTTAATTCAGTTTCAGGACAGAGAAGAGAAACAAGAGCACCTCGCAGAATCGCCAGGTGAGAGTTCATTGGTTTGAGCGTTCCTATCGCACTGGCAGCATGTGAAGAACAAATCCTGGACGGCTCGTCTCTTCCTCTCTCTCTTAAGTTGAAACCTACCCCGTCTTGCCATAGTGGGGAAAAGTAGAAGGAGCAATGTTGTTTACATGCTGTGAGACCTGGGAAAAGTCACTTGACCTTTCTCATCTTCAGCCTCCTCATCCACAAAGATAAGGAAAATAATATTAGCTGTGCCAAGACTGTCATGTTGATCAAATGAGATCACGTGTGAAAACCCCTAATGAATTGTAAAGGATCGTACAGGTGTACTTTACTCTCGCCAGTATTGGGGTGTAGTGTGTACTGAATTTTTAGTTTTATGACCATCGTTAATAATCTTTCAGGGAAAAAATAGGTATATATGTCTCAAAAATCTTCACGAGTTAGATTTCTTCTTCAATTTATAAGACATCTCACGTTAGAAGCATCATAATTCTTTAGCTAATTAGGGTTATGTAGGGTTCCTAGATGTTCTGCCTACTCTGTGTTTTTCACAAAAAGGAGCTAGCTTTTCTTTATATAAAATAACTGTCTATTTCACAAAAAGTGGAAGTAACAGTGGAAAGCTAAGAGAGATAAAATGTTTTATACTGAATCAGCTATTTAGGAACCTTTTCTAAAATTAATGGATTATTTTATACATTCATAAATGTAAAAAAAAAGTAATATTTTTAAAAACTCAAAAGCCAGCCTCCAGCTTAAGAAATAAAGCATTGCAAATATGGTTGAAGCTCCCTATTTCCATTCCTCTCACTGCCTGTAGGGGGCAATACTACCCTGAATGTGGTATTTATTATTGGAAACCTAGTTTTTAAATGTATCCAATGCAACAGCTAGAAATAAGAATTTGATACTTCCCCTGGAGCCCCTCTAAACAGAATGTCAAGATTCTGATGTCCCAAGGCTCTGTATTTATAAAGATTGAGATCAAGTTTAAAAGTATTCTCGACTGTCCATCTCCTTTGCCCCTTTTTCTGTTGAAAAAATAAAAGTGCATGGGCATGTACCCTGAAACTGTCTAACACTTAACTGTATTCATAGAAAATTTAACTGTTTGGACCATAAGACTGTAACCAAGGTGGTTTATTCTAATTAGGAAAAATAAATCCCTAGGAAGAAACAGCCATTCGTAGGAAGAAATGCTGGAAAGCCGAGCTCAGCTCCGGCAGGGAGGTAGAAGCATTTGGCTCTTGTGCCAGCTGAGGTATGTGAGAATGTCCAGCTGTCAGGGGGAGCAGCTGCCGGGCAGCACCAGCAGCTTCATGGCTTTGGATGGTCAAGTGTTGGCTGGTTGAGCTGGAGACCAGAGACCCAGCTGTCTGTGGTGACCGTCAGTCAGTCAGGAGTAGGACCCACAAAACTCTGAAGTCGAGGCTAAGAAATATCAGATGTGTCAGAGCCTCATGCCATCACTATTTGTGCTGCACCCTCAAGTGCTGGTGAAGGGCTAGTGGGATAAGAAGGAACACAAGCTAAATATTTTCCTGATCCTCAGTAGGATTAATCTAAGCTAGGTAGCTTTTGAAATCAAATTTATTGTCTGTTTGGAGCGGTGGATTTTATGAATATTGCTCTAACGCTTCTGGTGACTTAGCCCATGAAGGTAGGACTTAAAAATATGACTGTGCGGGGCCGGCCCCGTGGCCAAGTGGTTAAATCCGTGCGCTCTGCTGCAGGCAGCCCAGTGTTTCGTTGGTTCGAATCCTGGGTGCGGACATGACACTGCTCATCCAAGCCACGCTGAGGCAGCGTCCCACATGCCACAACTAGAAGGACCCACAACTAAGAATATACAACTGTGTACCGGGGGGCTTTGGGGAGAAAAAGGAAAAAGATAAAATCTTTAAAAAAAATATGACTGTGTGAAATATATAGAAAAACATCTGTTTAAAAATAAAATGTTTCATTATTGGGAAACAGTTGTGTTCTAATTATACAGAAATGAGCAGTTCATTGACTTTTCTTTTCCAGATTTAACTGGGTGGGGTTTTTGTTCCAAAAAAATACTTCTTGTTTGCCAACTGTTAAGCTTCTTAATTAATGGCAGTAAACAGTCTGTATTTTCATACTTAGGGAAGATCCTCCAAGAAATTCGCAGTGGGTTTAGACACTGCTCTTATTAGCGTTGAGCCAGGATGAGACTAGATGATAGATCATTACTTCTTCAGAAGCAGCAGTAAACAGGAGTGAGACATTTTAAGGGTTGCAGAAGAATGGAAAAGGTCTTAGCAAGAGGACCATAGCAGGATAGACTGTCTTAATTTTTTTTAATAGACTTTATTTTTTAGAGCAGTTTTAGGATCATGGCAATATGGAGCAGACAGTATAGAGATTTCCCATATACCCTCAGCCCTGACACTTGCATAGGTTCCCCCATTATCAGCGTCCTCCACCAGAGTGGTACATTGCTTAGAATTGATGAATCTCCATTGACACGTCATCACCCAAGGTCGATAGTTTCCATTAGGGTTCACTCTTGGTGTTGTACATACTGTGGGTTTGGATAAATGTACGGTGACATGAATACACCATTGTAGTATCATCTAGAGCAGTTTCACTGCCCTGATCGTCTCTGGGCTCCACCTTTTCATCCCTCCGTCTCCCCTAAGCCCTGACAACCACTGACCTTTTTACTGGCTCCATAGTTTTGCCTTATCCAGAATGTCGTATAGTTGGAGTCATATAGTATATAACCTTTCCAGATTGACTTTTTTCACTTAGTCATATGCCTTTAAGTTTCTTCCATGTCTTTTCAGACTGTCTGTTTTGACCTAGTCAAATTCTGACCGAGTCACGGCACCTGTAGTTTGAATTCCTGTTTCAGAGAAGGGATCTCAGAATGCCCTTAATCCTAGAAAGAGGACTGTCCTTGACATATCACCCAAAAGTTTATACCTTTAATAGACATAGGTGTTGTCCTTAAACCTTGAATCCTCAGACAAGGTTCCACTACACTTTAAATGGATTTTTACATCAATTGGCAAGAGGTGGGGTATGATGCAGAAGGGGGTGGAAATGCTGCTTCTAAATGGTTATTCTGGGTCTAGCCCAAGAATTTTGAGTCACTCTTCAATCATCTTATCTTCATCAAAAGTTTTCTGTTAGGGGCCGGCCCGGTGGCACAGCGGGTAAGTGTACACGTTCCACTTCGGCGGCCCAGGGTTCTCCGGTTCGGATGCCAGGTGCAGACATGGCACTGCTTGGCAAGCCATGCTCGGGCAGATATACAAAGGGTATTCCAGTGGCTAGGTATTAAATCCATGAGTGTTTATAATGGAGGAAAAAATGACCTATTGTATTTGAGTATATCGAATTAAGAAGTAGTAGTAGAAATATACATTTAAATAGTTTATAAATTTCTCTTCTGGCCAGAGTAGATTTCACGGAAACCTTAGATTTTAGATCTCTAGAAAAAAGTAGGACTTCACTCCTTAACTCCTAATCTGCTCTGTTCACAGGCTTCTAAACTGTTCCCTCCAAAGTCACTAATAAACTACTATATTAGTTTCCTGGGGCTGGTGTAATAAAGCAGCACAAACTACGTGGCTTAAACAACAGGAATGTATTGTCTCACAGTTCTGGAGGCTGGAAGTCCAAGAGCAAAGTGTCAGTAGGGTTGGTTCCTTCCGAGGGCTGTGAAAGAGAATCTGTCCCATCCTCTCTCCTAGCTTCTGGTAGTCTCAAGAATTCCTGGGCCTTTAGGTGGTATTCTCCATGTGTCTTTACATCATCTTTCCCCTGTACGTGTCTGTCTCTGTGTCCAAATTTCCCCTTTCTGTAAGGACACTAGTCACATTTGATTAGGGCCCACCCTAATGACCTCATCTTAACTTGATCATCTACAAAGACTCTTTCTCAAGTAAGGTTCAATTCACAGGTACCCAGGGTTAGGACTTCATCAACTTCTCGGGGGACATAATTCAAACCATAATAGCTACTATTGCCTAATCTGATGTCATGGTCCAGCTGTTCCTTTAGCAGATTATTCACAAATCTCTGTCTCCAGCCCTAGTTCCTTGACATCCATCTTTGATAGCCCATGGGGACCTCACTCTTAACGTATCCTAAAATAAACTCATTATCTTAGCCCCTCTCTCTCCTGTCCCTCTCAGGCCTTCTCCCTTCTCTCCATCTTATTTAGTGGCATCAGCACCCTCCTCTCTGTCAAGCTAGAAGCCAGAACGCCATTCTTAATGGAATAGGAAGCACACTGGACACAACATTGAATGCTCTGCCCCTTTTAAGAAATGGATACAATTGGGTGGGTTTCTTAACCTCTTTGAGCCCCAGTTTCTTCACTTGCAAAATTAAGATTAAAAAATTGGAAGGAAAATTATAATTATAGGATCATATATATTAAAACATTTTATATTCCTACTTAATAGTGTTTTTGACACAAGTCTTACCCTCTACATCCAGCCCTTAAGTCTGCCACTGTGTATTTCTCCTCTTTTGTTCTCACTGGCTGCCACTGTCGTAGTTCCTCCACAAGCTGGCCTTTGGAACACCTTCTGGCTCATCTCCCTTATTTCTCTTACACCCTCACACTATCACTGTAGTTAACTAACTGAAAAGCACTCAGGAACATATGGTGTCTTTTCAGAATCCCTCCCCGCTCCCTGCAATTTCTGTAAATTTCTAACTTGTCGTTTAAGATGCTGCTGTCTGGCCCTAAATAGTCTCATCCTCCTCAATGAGGATTTGTTGAATGTTGTGAGGGACCTTCTAGGCCCTTTAGGGATTCTGAGAATAGGATATGATCACGCGTCAAGAGGCATATAATTTAAGAGGAGTTACCAAAGTGGTAAATTTTGTGATGGAGCTTCAGTTTTACAAGTCCTGTTAAAGAGAGGGAATGACTTATCCAGCAGTGTGCTTAAGGGAGAGAGAATATTCGGGAAAGATTTCACACAGAGGCAAAACTAAAGCTCAATTTCATTTTATTTTATTTCTCAAGAACTTAAACGTGGTGCCAGGCGCTGTTCTAAGTGCTTCACCTCTCTTTGAATAAGGAAGGTGCTGTTGCTGTCCCCACTTTGCAAATGAGGAAACAGACCACAAAGAGGTGAAAGGACTCGCCCAAAGTCAGCCCGCTGTTAAGTTCTCAGCAGGGTTTGAGGAAGCCGGGTTCTTCACCGGCAAGCTGTCCTGCTCTCCGTCTAGAGTGATAAATAGGCTGTGGACGAGGAGAAAGATACAGAAGCGTTAAAGGCTGAGCTGACAACTTTCATGAATTGCATGGGGACATGAAACAGTATATCACAAGTTTAAGGAATATTAATCAGGGAAGAGTGGCAGGAATATAAGCCTCCAAAATAGGATTCCCAGGACATGTGGAGGCCTGTGAATGCTCTTGCTGTGGGTGCTACTGCTTTTGGAAATGTCAGGCTCCTCTTTTATAAGTCTCTCACCTGTTCTCTGCTCCCAGAGGCATGATTCCTTCTTACTGTCATGTCTCCCTCTAGCCAAGTTGCTGATTATGGTTTCAGCTCCTTTCTCCTGCCTCGCGATCTTTTTTTTTTTTTTCTCTTTTCACCCTATTTCTTACAACTCGTGTGGCCATCTTTCATGCTGTCTAATCATCCGGAATGTGGACGTGTTCTCCAGGGTATTTCATTTTCTCCCCTGAAAGAGAGATGTGCTTTCATTAATAACACACTTAAGTGGTGACCGTCTCAGACAGGAAGATAAACATAGCATAGTCCTTGCAAGACTCGGGAACAATTTCCTTGGTGTCATTACCTGCTAAATGTCAAGATGAGCCTGTGTTTTCAGTGACCCATTGAAAACTCCCTCCAAAACTGCCATGACAAATGGCCTATTTATCACCACCTGTGAGGAAGGCCCTCAAAAGTACATCTTTAGGTTTCTCTTTGTCCTGGCAGCCCCATCAATGCTCATTTATACCTGCCAACTACCAACCCAGCCTCTTTCACCAAGTGCCAAAAACATGCTGATCCTAATCCACCAAAATGTTGCCTGTCTCTCTTCCTTCAGTGCCAGCTTCATCTCTATTCAGGTATTCTGATATTGTATCCTAGCCCTCCGAGGTAGAATGGGTCTGGAAACTGAGAAGATGCAGGTTTAATATACAGCAAAAACCCACATCCTAAATTCTCATTTTATTGATATATTTGCCAAGTGCGGTGTTGCAATTTAGTTTTCATCTACAGATGGGAAAATGGAAAGAAAAGGCACAAAACTCAGCAGCATCTCACTTACGGTGAGATTGGGCGGTCCCACTACAGTACATTAGCCAATAAGTGGTTGCTGAGCCATTGCTATATGACAGAATAATCTTTCCTTCTTTTATAAATATTGGGTATTCAGGCTTCTTAAGAGAATGACTCATGGACATTATACTCCTAAATGTTCATTTAGATTACTCACTTTGTGTGACATACAGACTGTAGTTTGGATTCTGAACTTTGAAGTAGAAACTCATCAGAGTAGAGAACTCAGACTCTTGGATTTTCCTTTTTAATTATTCTTTCAGAGTCTAGGGAAATTGTGTGTTTGCAAGTCATGAGCCCAGAGATGATTCACAGACTGAGTGGCTTAATTTATAGACGTTGCTTTCATGTCATTATCCAGAGCCATTAGAATGAGTAGCTTTAGAAAATGACTGGCACCTTGTGGCCAAAATTTGCACACATTGCGTTATTTTGCTAAGTGAGCTGTTATTATTCATTTTAAATTTCCAAACGCAGCCCTCGATTACCTAGAAAGAAAATAGCTGGTTTGCTGTATTAGTAAAGTGGCAACATTTGGGGAAAAGAATTTGAGCTTTCTGTTGTCTTTAAAATTTGTTCTTATCAGAGTATTTATTTCTAGAATGTGAACCACGTAGATATTTTTTAGGTGCTTGCTCTTATTTTTCTAATACTCTGCTGATGTTTTCTACACAGTTGCCCTGGGACCAGAAAGAAGAAAATCTGACTGCGGAGTTATGTTGCCAACTCTCAGGGTCTCTCTTATCCAAGACATGAGGTATGTGTTATATGTGCTGGCATACGGTGACAACTTTGAAATGTTTATGGCTTTCACTTAAACTGTTCAAAGCACTATGGCTATGTATTTGTTTTTGCTTATATGTCCTGAAGACAACATTTTTTTATAATCTTGTTTATTTTACTTTCATACTATTATATTTTCTCCTGACATTAAATCCAAAAGGAAAAGGTAGCTGAGAAGAGTTTTAAGGCATCCCTAAATTATTTTACCATTTTTCTTCAGTTTTCTAAAACCTCCTTAAATACCTGCTGCCCACAGCTACAGACCAAAATATCTACAAATAATGACAGGTTCCTTGGCAGAAAAATTGCCATTGGGCAGATTTAGTTTGAAACAAATGCAAGTCTGAGAATTATCACTTGCAATTATTCGTCTTAGAAATCGTTAGAAAGCATCAGCTTACCTAAAACAGGTGTTTTTTTTAGATTTTTTTTGTTCTTTTTGAGGAAGATTAGCCCTGAGCTAACAACATCTGCTCCCAGTCCTCCTCTTTTTGCTGAGGAAGACTGGCCCTGAGCTAACATCTTGCCCATCTTCCTCTATTTTGTATATGGGACACCGCCACAGCATGGCTTGATGAGCAGTGTCTGCACCTGGGATCTGAACCAGCGAACCCCAGGCCACCAAAGCAGAACGTGCGAACCTAACCGCTGCACTGCCAGGCCTGCCCCACCTAAAATAGATTTAGTGAATGAGGAAGGCAGAGGCTTTTTTCTTTTAAACATTTGAGGTACAATACTTAGTCAGCTCTTAAAATTTGTGGGTTTAAAGTGAATGTTACAACATTTATAGCACTTGAAACTTTTCTTTGATGGTGTGCTTTATTAATATTAATCGTTGGTATTTATTTGGTTTGTCAGATAACTTGCGACTGAAGAGCATAATTATTATGAGTGGCAGCACAGCACAGTGGTAACACATCCTGGCTTTACCATTTACTAGCTGTGTGATCCTAGGCAATTTTCATAACTTCTCTGTGCATCAGTTTTCCCATCTCTCAAATGGAGATAAAAACAGTGTTCTCTCTCATAGGATAGCTATGAGAATTAAATGAGTCAGTCCACTACTGTTAAAAGTTTCAAGAAGTACTTGGTTTATAGTAAGAGTTCAGTAAATGTTGGTTTTTGTTATCTGAATCAGTTTACATATTTATATCTTAAATGTCACTTTTCCTTGGTAGATGAAATATAGTTGTCTTCATGTAGCTTATGATTCCTTTTTATGGTCAGCGTGAGAGGCATAGTTGTAACCATGAGCGGAAAACGATCTTGGTTCTCTTAACAGAAACATAAAACCACATGTGTCCTGTGGTGATTTCACGGAAGCTACCACTTTAGGGTGATGGTGGTTGAAAGCTTTGCAGCTGTGACCGCAGGGGCCAAACTTCTGAAACCTAATTAGGAGCTGGACACATCTCATAAGGCTACGCTGCTCTTCCCATTTCCTGCTTATTTGCTTGTATCTCCTTCGTGTTGTTGGTTTTTTGCAGGGCGGGGTACCCTGCCTAGATATACTCCCTTCTCTTGGTAAGAGGCAGTGCAGCCTCCTGATTCAGACCTCGGGCTCTGGAATGAGCCTGCGAGGGTTGCTGTGTCAGCTCTGCCACTCCCTAGCTCTGTGACCTGGGCCAGTTGCTTATACTCCCAGTTTTCTCACCTATTAAATGGGGATAATAATAGTGTTTCTCTCAAAACGTTGATGTAAAGAGGCAATGAGTTGATAAATGTGAAGCTCCCAAAATAGGCCTGGAAATAAGTGTGTGTATACTAACTCATGCATACACATACATCTGTATTTATTTCTGTTTCTGTCTTTATATGTGTGTGTATATATTTTTACACACACACACAATTTTTTTTTTTTTTGAGGAAGATTTGCCCTGAGCTAACATCTGCCAGTCCTCCTCTTTCTGCTGAGGAAGACTGGCCCTGAGCTAACATCTGTGCCCATCTTCCTCTACTTTGCATGTGGGATGCCTCCCACAGCATGGCTTGCCAAGTGGTGCCATGTCCGCACCCGGGATCCGAACCGGCGAACCCCGGGCCACCAAAGCAGAACATGAGCACTTAACCACTGCGCCACCAGGCTGGCCCCTCACAATTTTTTTTTAAACCATGAATTCATAGTGATATCTCTGATTCCAGTTCAATACCACCGAGATCATTCTAGCCTCCCCTTATTTGTAATTTCTTTCTCCAGCCATGAAAAACCTGGCTGTCATTATCTGCAATATATTTACTTATTTGTGCAACCCCAGTATATACATAAGGTAGTTTCAGAACTGCTAACCTGTACCCCCGTGAGAAACAAGTGTACTTACTAACTAACCATCGTTTTGTGAACAGCTGTAGTTTTGTCATTAGCCTTTCAGTATCCAGTCAAAATACCGTTTTCCAAAACTTAGATTAGTTCTTTTTATTTCTTCACTCCCTTCAGCATGGTTATATTATTCATTTGTAATACAGTTAGGTTTATTTGTTGGTTTGTGTTCTCCCCACATCCTGGTTGTTGGTTGGTTGTTTAATTTATATAGGGTAGAATTCACTCTTTCTTGGTGTATAATTCTATGTGTTTTCACAAACGCACAATCACATTACAGAACTGTTTTACCATCCCATAAATTCCTTTGTGCTAGTCCTTTTGAGTCAACCCTTCTCGCAGTTTCCTACCCCTGGTAATCACTGATATATTTGCAAGCTCTTTTCACTGAGAGGGCCTAGCAGTAATAGTACCCCGGTAACAGTGTGCACACCTAGTGCCCACATATTGGTTTCTAAATCCCGTTTTCCACTGAAAGGGACCAGGGCTCCCTAGAGAAGTGATTGATTGCAGGGCTGGGGAAGGGAAAATATAGGCTGAGCCTAGTGCATCTTTGGGGCCAGAAAGTAAGGAAGTGCTCAGAAAAGTATAGGATCATGTAATAAAGACTCAGGAGCCAGCTTGAAAGGGCTCCCAGTGGCCAAGGCTGAAGCAATTTGAACAACATAATAAATAACAATAGTATTGCAGCATAACCCATAGAATAAAATAAATATCCATGAGTCTATTCTGATATAAATAAGGAAATGAATGGCAGTGATGGGACAGCTCTTTTTCACTTAAGCATTCCAATTAATAAATGTAGAATAATGAAATAGAAGAATTAGTGGTTGAAAGTTTAAGGTGAAACCAGGATATTTGCATAGTCTCAAAGTATCCTCCCCGAAGAATTTATTAATTACAAAGGAAAAAATAGTAATTTTATAGTGGAGAAACCCAGCAGACACTACCTTAACCGAGTGATCAAGGTTAACATAACTAGTAGTAGGACGCAACATCACGGACCCCCTGATATGATACACTGAGAAGAGTGCATCACTTCTGCAGTGCTCTTGCCATAAATGTATAACCTCAATCTAACCATGAGAAAACATCAGAAAAATCCAAATTAAGGAGCATTCTACAAAATAATTGACTAGTACTCTTCAAAAGTGTCAAGGTCATTATGACAAGGGAAGGCTGAGGAACTGTCGTGAATTGGAGGAGACCAAGGAGATGACAGCCAAATGCAACGTGGGATCCTCGATTAGATCCTGGTGAATTCCAGCTGTTAACAGTACTGTACCAGTGTTAGAGTCCTGGATTGGTTATGTAAGATGTTAACATCAGGAGAAGTTGAGTATGCAGGAACTCTGCACTTTTGCAACATTTTTGTAAGTCAAATTATTTCAAAATAAAACAGATATATGTTTGTTTGTTTTGTTTAAAACCAAGCCTGGTACGAAGTAAATGTGTAATGGCCATTATTATTATAGATACACAGTGTAGATGGCTTATCGTTATGCAGGGATGCAATTCTTGGTACAGCTCTGCTCACCTGTTCTCTTGACTATTGGATGGATGAGCTGTGACATCTCTAGTCTAAGCCCCTAAAATTTGTCACTTGGATTACATCATGGTCCCCATGTTTCACTGCCGCCCTCCTGTAATTATTCATCCTCCCTTCTTGTAATGTGGTGATCTTAGAATAAAGTCGAAACCGCTTGCGCTGGCTGGCAGCACCCTGCTTGATCTGACCCCTGTCTACCTGCAGCATTACGTCCTGTCACTGCGCCTCTGACCACTTCTTTGTTCCTCCAGCATGCCAAGCTTGTGTCCTGCCCTGGGCCCTTCGTCTACCTGTTCCCTTCACCTAATAACTTACCTCTGATTCCTACTCCCTAGAATCTCCACAGGCCAGGCTCCTTCGGGTCATTCGCACCTTAGTTCAAACGTCACTTCCTCCAAGAAGCCATCCCTGACCACCTGGTGTGAAGCGCCACCCAGTCACTCTCTTTCAATTCCCCTCTTTTAATCTCTGCACAGCTTGCTTTTGTTTGTTCGTTTTTCTAACGCTATTCGTAAACATCATGATGGAGGGGCATCTGTCTGACATGTGGAATTGTTAAATTGTTAACAGGTGTGAACACAGTCTGTCACATAAATGGTGCTCAATTAATATTTGTTAAATGAAGGATTTGTCATATTTTAAGCTCTGTGAGTGTGAGCGAGGGAGTGTGTGTGTGTGTGTCTTTGTGTGTGTGTGGTTGGGTGGGTGATGTGACATTTTTACAGACACCCTTACGTGGTTCAGCTGGCCAGACTGCCATTGAGTTATAGCGGTTACAGTTTTGAAGATGTAGAAAGATGGCGATCGCTGAGATACTTTTTATTCATCAGTTTAAAATTGAGAGTTTAAAACCTGAGAAGTCATATTGCTTAGCTTCTTCCTTTTATAGATGTGGAGCTCAGGCCCAGATAGGTTAAGTCTAAAACCGTATAGCCAATTACCAGCAGAAATGGAACTAGGACTAAGGTTTCCTGACCGTAGTTCAGGTCTCTTTCTAACTAGATGCACGTTCTCAGCCTTTGCCCTGTCACCAAAAAATGCCGAGTGTGAGTAGGCCAACAAGTTGGCAGTAGTGTACGAGTGTACATCAGCCAACTAGAATCTAGTG